CAGTTACCTGCGCAATTATAATCGGCGATAAATTTCAGTAATTTGGACTATCTCAGTATAATGTGAATATAGTAGACAGAACATGATGATGAACAAAGAAAAGGCAGGTTTTAGATTGCTAACGGATCGAAAGAGGTAGTGGTTAAAATATGTCACGAGAAAGCAAAGAGTACAATAGCGGAAAAAGCTGTATTTATAATTTGTCATCGAAAAGCACGATTTTTTTTCGCGGAAAGCTGTTCTGAATCGCGGAAAAGTGATACTGCGAGTCTCAGTCCTGTAGCTTTCGCTGAATATTCATCGAAAGCCACAGGACTGGATGAGGGATGAGAATGAAGTGAATCTATTAGACCCCCTACCCTGATAACCAGATGCATATGAACGATGGACATCGATCTTCTTAAACGCGTATAGACATATTTTCTCAAAACATATTAAAGATCTTATTTTATCTAAAAAGTTATTGAAACTTCAAATTTCTGGACGGGTTTGAAAACCTTTTTTAAGGAGAGTTATCACAAGGTGGAACAAAATTAATATCTAAGCAAAGGCAGGAAAAATTAACAGTCTGTTTTGTAATTCAGTGTTTTAGCCACGACGGGTATAAGTGAGGCCATTGGAAAGAGTGTGTCAAAGGTCATCTTGATTATTCGTTAATGTGTAGGGCTGTTAGCTGTTCCCGCCCTGTATCTCTTCTAATGTATTTTTTTTCGTTATGGAATCTGGTAAGGTATGCTAGTAAATATTTCACGGTTACCTAAACGGAAATTACTTTCCTACAGGCCTGTAGTTTGATCGAGTCTATCGTTGTAAATTTAAGGACACACATTTTTTTCTTAAAAAGAGTAAATTAATACAGCATGTCGGCGAATTAAAATAAAATATTTGACAACGTAGATCAAGACATGTTTGTAGTAGTTTTGAGAAACTTCACATCTTTTTATAAATGATATCAACAGAATCTGCATAACAATACAACTATACAATTAATTCTTTTTACATGTATAGATTGCCTTTAGTTAGCATAGGGTAACTTCAAAAGCCGTAACGGTTGTTCTTTAGGAAAACAAAATCATGTGAAATACCGGGATTTGAGAAAATTATTTTTAACAGGATAAATTTAATTTAAATCAGTAATGAAAATTGAAATGATATCTTAAGTTCTAAATAGTTGTTCTTTCATTGAACGTCTTAAAATAAATGTAGGTTATTTTATGAATATGTTCTCTTGTGTAACTTATGAATTATTATACAATAATTTTTAATGATTGAATTAAAAAAACCCACACAAATTGAATCATCACCTTGCGGAGACTGTGTGTGTACATGCAAGACAATAGCCCTGTGTTCCCTTTAGGTAGAAACCCTCTCAAATCACATAGAATATACAAAAAATACACAGTGACAGGTGTCTTCCTGACACGTATCTACCCCTGATATGTCACGTGAGGACAGGTGTCCGTAGCTACACAAACCGTAACAACGTTTGCAAAAGACTTTGTGGTTTTTTTTTTGCCCGGGGTGGGGGTTGGGGGCTTCCCAATAAATAGAAAAGACAAACAAAACAAATAGAAATAAATAAATAAAGGAAAATCTAACAAACAACAATTATCTTAATATCTTAAACAATATGTACTATAGCAAAATACTAGTAATATAATACTCAGACCCCATCCTATTCGATGAATGAGTTTTATCAGTTCAGTTTACATTGATTTCTATGTAACTATACTAGTCTTACTCTTTTAATCAATTGTCGCAACTTATTTCAGTATGACTGATTTCTATGTAACTGCACTTAAATTCTTCTCTATTCCAATTCACGCATCGATATATGAGTTTACCAACACTAATGTAATAAATAAAATTTAAATTAATTTGCGTTCACGGTCATTACATTTTATCACACAAAAATATACATTCATCTAGTTATTCTAACTGTTTGAGAGGAAAATTAATTATTTTGATTCAGGACATGTACGTGTACACGTTTGAATAATAATATAATGTATATCCAATAATGTAATCGTACTTTACATAATAAAATATTAATTAAATTAATTAAATGTACGAAGGAACTTCAAGGATATGCATGGAAATAACAATCTGAGAATAATCTAATTTTTCTGTAATAATACTATGTTTTGGAAGCTCCTTCCACACATTTTGTTTCCGAAAAATACGCAAATTCAAGCATTAAATGTAAATTAATGTACCAAACAGAAAACTTAAGTGTCAGGAATCCCTCCCCTCCCCCACCCCACCCCCCAATTTAGAACGTGGTGCATACATTAGGTGTTTTTTTTTTTTTAGATTCATTTCTTGTTTTTGGTTGTTTTTTGTTTTTTTTTTTGCTTCTTAATTGTTTTTGGAGGTCCCCTTCTAATATGTGATTCTCTGCAAGAATGCTGGGGACACCGACCTGGCCCCCCCCTTTCTACAATTGCTGGATCCGCCCCAGGCCTGTTGTATATACTAGTATATAGGTCCCTGCATGGTAAAATGACTACGAGCAGTTCCTTCAAATTGTTTATTTGATATACAGGTTTTGAGACAATTATATCAGCTTTTATTTTGCGTTAGATGCATAACTGTAGCTCCCCGAAAAAATATTTTGAAAGACCGGAGAGCTACAGTCAGATCATGCACCCCCCACCCCTTTCCATCTGCATTCTACATGAACCTTTCTCTTCGTCATTGAATATGAAATATTTTATACATACTTCAAAAAGTTAGTTACTTCTGAAGATGGTCCAAAAATGGTATAGTTAATTAAACTTCGCCAGAATCTTCCTTGGTGGTCGGAGCCCGTAGCCGGGTTCGTTAAGGTACAGTCAGGTACACGAAGGAAAGCAAATATACGCAAAAATCTACAGATACAGAAAGGACAGAGTTTTTTCTTCAAATTATAGGACGTATAAATATCTATATTACAGAGAAATCTTTCTCTTTCCTTTTCTCTCTCTCTGTGTACAAAAATAAAGGGGTGGGTGGGGTTCCAACCACCGACCTCCCTCTGGATCCGCCCGGCAATGATATGGGCCCCTGTTTTTACAAACTTTGCCCAGCTTAAAGTTTTTTTTATTTTCACGCAAAATACGGAAACACGTTTTTTTTTTTTCAAATCGGAGTGTGCAGTTTGTTTCCTTGAACATGTGATTTACAACTTACGTATACATAGTAGTTCGCTATAACATCTCCTCCCATGAAAAAAATTGGTTTTACTATTCAAAATAAAACAAGAAGCATTTATGTAGCATTTTCAACTTTCTGAGCATTTGTAAGTTCATTTTTTAAAGTAAATTCCAAAATCTATATTTTCAACTTCGGTAGGTCTTATTTTATAACAATATAGAACACAAATTAAACAGAATGCAGTTTGTAAATGGTATAATGATACCTGTATAAATTTAAAAAAAAAAAAAAAAAAAAACTGTATCCCCCCCCCCCCCGAGTTCGATTACGGGGGCATGAAATATAGTGTACACCGTGATATGATCCAAGTCAGTAAAACGCTTTATTAAAAAGAGCATGAAATCGAAAGTAAGAACAAGAACTGAAGAAGATTGAAGGGATAATTCATGCAAGTGTAAATCATTCTGTTTGAGTTTCTTGATTTAACCTGTGTGAATTACTCCATTAACATCACCGCCGACTTGACTAAGATCCAAAAGTTAGCAGACGGAAGTGCCTTGAATATGTCAAACTGTAAGTACGGTTAGCATGGTTCGTACCGTGCAGACAGATTAGCACAACTTGCAAACGTTAGGCCACATTCTGTCACATAACAGTCTATCTGATAACATTTTGATTGAAAAATTAGGGCAAGATTTGTTCAGATAATGGCACACTATTTAAAGGGGAGTTCATAAAGTAAGTATGTATATTTGTAGCCATCTTTCAAAAATCTTCCCAAGAACCATTCATTGGCCCATAAAAGTTTAAACTCATGTGAAACATTTATTACATAGTGTAGATTCAAGTTTGTTCATATCACGACCCCGGGGATTAGGGTGGGCCACAAATGACAATTGGAGATCAAAATTGTACATAGGAATACCCTGTATTTTTTTTAAAAAAATCTTTTTATCAAGAACAACAAAAATTTGATCAGTCATTTTGATATGAAAGTATCATCATGCAGTTGAGATTCAAGTTTGTCACAATAGAGAATCAAAGTTTTACAAAGCAATATATATATATATATAAAAGTTTAAAATCTTATTTTTGAGAGAAGCAAAGCCATGATTTAATCCTTTTGATATATTGGAAACATCCTCAGGTAGTGTAGGTGAATTTTTCTTCTTCAAATCAATGCAATCATGACCCTTAGGGGTACGTTGGGGCCACAGTAGGGAATCAAAATTTTACATATTAGGAATACCTAGCAAACTGGGTCTTCAGATAATGTCAACTAAAAAGTGTGTCACAAAGACTTACATTGTGGATTTTATGGCTATATTTAAATATTTCCATTTCTAATTTTTTTTCTCTGTGATAACTCTGAAAGTTAGGGGAGTTTATTTTTTGATAATTCTGCCGGAATGTAAATAAGGCAGCCAGGTCGATAGGTCAGGAGCTAAGGAGGCCTAATATGCATGCAAATATCGTGCGCATCTGTCTCTGTGTCTGATGCTGAGGAGGCCAAATATGCATGTAAATCTCGTGCGGCTGTCTTTGTGTTTGACGTCAGTGGGCGAGGACTATTTAAATTGGCATGGGAGTCCTCGTGTAATTTAAATCAATTAGTCTACATTTTTAAAGTCTAAATCTACAATTTTATTTCACAATGAAATGGAAATATAAGGAATCACTGTCTAGTTAGTATAGTATGCCAGGGACATCACCGATAGTGGGAAACATGGCATAATTTATGCTTCGCCCGTCATGCAAATTATTACATGTTTCCCACTTTCGTTGATGCCCTGGCATACTATACTAACTAGACAGTGATTCCTTAAATATCTCCGGTACTTATTGGCTTAGAATATAGGAAAAAGAGCACCAAAGACCCAGATTTTAACATCATTTCCAGGTTGAACAAGATGAAGCAGAGTAATAAATGGGTAGGCTTTACCTGATTGGGTGAATTCAGGTATGTAAATATTTTCATTTTAAAGTAAAACTATTAATGTTTGAAATAAATGATGGAATGTGGAAATATTACAGAAAATATAGAAATACCAGGGGAGATTGTAGGAGTGGGGATTGATATTTTTGGCAGTGTGTCATTTACTGCCGAGATCGCTGTAAGATCTAAATATTAATATGTAAAGTGAAGTGAAAGTCATGAAAAGTTATTTTTAGCTATTTATTTGAATATTTAAGACATTTCGAGAGAAAAATTAGCCAAAATTTGAATTATTTTTCTGTGGAATTGGGGTTAGAGGTGATTTGGAGTCTTTTGTACTGTAGAGATTGGGGGGGGGGGGGTTACAGAGGATGGAAATTGGTAAATCAATGTGTAGTTGACATGGCCAGAGGAGGAAGGTAAGTTAAGAAAATGTATCAGATTGATCTTATAATAGATGTTTGTATGTATTCATAAATTTATTATATGTATTTTACATGTACATGTGATTGTGTATTTATATGAATTGATATAATTATGTGTACATATTCTAGTCTAGTGTAGGATGGTGGCCTGGTGTTAATTTTTATTTAGTTTCTTATACGTTTGCACGTTTGGTATCTTTTCGAATAATTTATTCGGCCCTTAAAAGTGCCTTTCGTGGTGTTCATGTGAAAGGAGGGCATTTTCTGTCTTGACGTATCATGTCGGTAGTGAATGTGATCCTCTGGATTGCCTCCCTTGGACTGCAGGGGCATCAGTTTGTAGTTTGGTTGTTTCTATATTGTAGCTACACAAAGGTCTGTGTTTTCCCTTTTTTTTGCTCTTTGTAGTTTCATCAGGATGACTCTCTGCAACTCATTTTCTACTGCTTTCCAGTTTTTGTACTTAGAGTTACTTCCCTTAGACTAGCTAACCAAATATGTAGAATTTCAACATGATATAATCTTAATTATTGTGACCTTAGGCTTCTGATTTTGTTTTCTTGAATTATTGGAATGGCATTACTGCATGTATCACATTTGACTTTTCTAATATTTACATGTAATTACATGTAAAATTGTAAAACATGTATTCCACCCTTGACGGATCCATTTTTTAAACATTTAGCCATGTAGAAGATATGTAATATGGTAATTTTTCAGAAAACTTGAAAAATATTGCTGTTTATGATTTATGCTTAATTTGACTAACTTTATTGATTCATCTTTATTTAAACACTATAGAGGACTTTCATCTTTCAGCTTCCTCGAACCCGGGAGAACTTGGTATCTGATTAGCGGGGGCATTTTCTCTATATAAGAAGAAGATGGAGACTCGCTATGCACCTGATATATTTTGTCGGACAGATTTCTGTACATTGCAGGTAAATTTTCCATTTATTAACTTTCCAGCCTCTTCTTTTGGAGTACATTTTGGGGTTTGAAGTCAATTATTGCAATTTTTGATTTTTTATAAATTAATCTGAATTCCCCTTTTAAAAGCATGAAATTCAATAATATTGCTTATGGTTGTACTGTATAAGACTATCAGATACTACACTTTAATTTGTTATCAAAAGTATTAATTTTCTCTTGTCTGAATTAATTGTAAACAAATATAATAGCAGGCACCTGCTATTTCTCTAAGTGTCTTTCACTGGGGCGTGGGGAAACTTTTTTGTATATACTTAAGCAACAGGAGGAGTTAGATAAGAATCATTTAGTATATCAGAATCTCAAACAATTTACTTTGCATAAGCATAAAAATTTTTCTATATCAGTCTTTTTAAAACCTTTTAATTTTGCTTAATTAGCTATGTTTTATCAAATTTTGGACCTTTTTTCTTTATTCTGGGTAGAATCCACCCGTTTGTAAAAAGTGACACAATTATGACTTTATATCATTTTATTAACATCAAAACACAAATTCATGTTATTTTATAAATATTTTATTCATTACAGTGACAACTGTATCCAGATTTCATCACAGGAATGAAAGTTTTTCACTCTTTGGAACAGTACCTGCAGCAGGGAGGGGTCATTCATTAAGATGGTCACAGATTCCAAGACACTGAAGTGACAGGGTTCAAATTTCATACATGTATATTGGTATGTATAAGGTCTTTGAAAATTACAAAATTGACTAATAGGATAGGTAAATATGTAAGTATAGGAAAAAGAGCACCAAAGACCCAGATTTTAACATCATTTCCTGGTTGAACAAGATGAAGCAGAGTAATAAATGGGTAGGCTTTACCTGATTGGGTGAATTCAGGTATGTAAATATTTTCATTTTAAAGTAAAAATATTAATGTTTGAAATAAATGATGGAGTGTGGGAATATGACAGAAAATATAGAAATACCAGGGGAGATTGTAGGAGTGGGGATTGATATTTTTGGCAGGGTGTCATTGACTGCTGATTGCTGTAAGTTCTAAATAACTGCAAATTTGACCTATAAACGCCGCGGCACGGTATATTTTTTTCCATGTTTTTAATAAGTGCTTAGAACGAACTTTCAAATGATATGACAGATTTGTTTGAATGGGAATTAGTAAATTACTTGGAGGGCATAAGGTTTGTATAGAGTTCTATGGGAAATTAATTGGTACTCTTTTCCCAGAATCATCATCCTTTGTCAGTTGATGCATCATAGATCTTCAGAGTGTTTTAACCAAAATGTAGGTTATGATGACCTACTATTGGAATTTCAAGGCTTTGTGATAGATTGTACAATTTATCAGAAGAGGGATTCAAGGCTCTTGGGGCTAATGTTCTTGTTAAACACTGACATCCACACACAAATAAGAGGAAACAGAACAACATACTCAAAATGGGTAGATACAAAAAATCCTATTGGAGTAATATTTTAAATTCCTAAGGGATTTTTTTTTAAAACTAAGATTAGGAAATTAAGAAGAAGATGGAACAAAAAATAATCCTATGGGAATAACTCTCAAATTCCTATGGGAATTTTAATCCTATGGGAATTTTTTTTCCTAAGGGAGAAAAAAATTCCCTTAGGAGAAATTTTTTTTCCTATAGGATATTTTTTCTCCTATAGGATTTATTTTTCTCCTTTAGGAAAATAAATTCCCTTAGGAAATTAAATTCTCCCATGGTAAATTAAAGTCCTACAGGAATTTTTAAATATCCTGCAGGAAATTAAGAAATCCTGCAGGATTTTGATAATATCCCTCAGGAATTTTATTTTTCCTATAGGAACTTTATTTTTCCTATGGGAATTTTTTGTTCAAAGGTGATTATCTCACCTGACAGGTGAGATTTACCTGTAACAAAGGTAGTTATGAACTCTGTGAGTGATGGTCTACCACTTGGTATACATGATTTTTATGTGAAATGAGGATTTGGCGGGCGCCAAAATGCCACTTTTGAAGTGGCATAATTATCCGGCACAGTGTTCTATGTTTAAACAGGCACGTGGCATCCTTTTTTTAAGTGGGGGGCAAGCCAGAGAAATTTTTTTTTTACTAAAAACTGACAAGCAGAAAAGGAGGCTTTGCAGAAGCGAGGGGGGAGGGGTAAGTGGCCAACTTTTTGCAAGGTCAACTTCCTTTCCCTTCATATTTTTTTGCGTACAATACTACATTTCCTTGATATCACTTTACTCTTTACTGTGGTTAGAAGTGGGGGAGGGAGGGCAACCAACCTTCCAATAGACATTTTCTATAGTAAAGGCAATGTTGGGAAAAAATGGGGGGGGGGGGCGCTCCCGTTGCTACGTGCCTGTTTAAACCCAAAACTTAATATCCCTCCCTCAAAACTGCTGACATTAATTGCCTCGCGCGCACATCTCACTGGGGAATAATCACCAATTAACGTTAAGATTGTACTGGTAAAACGATGCATAACTTTTAATGACAATGGTATAGATCATTATGTAATGATATAGTTATATCATGGCATTTCATAAAATAGCTTAAAATTAAACTGAACTCGAGTAATTGAAAAATATATTCATAGATTACAAAATAATTTCAACTGACATTATGTAGTCTGAACTTCATTGTTGGAAATAACATTTCATTTGGTAATTTTTTTCTTAATGCTATACCCCTTTTCCACAGAAAAATGTTATAAAATAAAACGCAGTATTGATAAGAAAAGAAAGATGCTGTTGCAAATAAATTGTGCTCAGTAAATTCATCTTCACCATGATTTAAAAAATATTAAGTTGCCATGGCAATATTATTTATACATGTTTTTTTAAAGATAGATTACCGAACAAAAAAACTATGTAACATATATATAATTATTGATTTCTTTCAGCTTGATGAGTTTAAGCAAACCACGTCAGACGAGCTTTTTAGGAAAGCTAATACTTGTTGAAAATTATGATCTAGTGTTGGTACGGAGAGGTCGTACTATTTTTATTCTTTTCCTTTATTAATATCACTTCGTTCTTTATTAGTATTATTTCTTCAAGTTTTGATTTATTTCAAGAAAAAAATAATTCCTGTGATCAAACTTCAAAAGCAATGAATAAAAATTTAACTTTAATGAGAAGCATTTATTGTACAGGTTAATCTCTAAATTGTTTACATGGTAATGTTAACTCGTTAACATATAAGTCGATAACGTGGCTTTAGTATCGGAATGCAGATACGAGAATTCCTATACATGAATGGTTCTATAGCATGAGCGCATTATTGATGCAAGTACGAATATTAAAAGAAAATGTAGATGCATTTAAGAAATTTCATGAAAATCTAAGGCTTGATATGGAAGTGGAAATTGAGAAGTTCAGTTATCCGATGAAAAATGTAATAACAGCTTAATTAGTTGATATAATCGGATGCAGTTCCATGAAATATAATATTTTTTCCCGGTATCCTTGAGATTTTCCCAGAAGAACACAAAGGGGAAAGGGACGTTTTGAGGCTTCCTAGGCGTAGAACTCAAAATATGGACACAGATTGAACTGAATTTTTAAAACCAATTTTTATGTTGAAGTATTTGTAAGGTTTACTGATATAGTCCAATCCACACTTTGCAAAAGTTGTTTCCCTTTGCGGGATCAACCAAAAGGTCAAAAGGGAATGAAACGTCATGTCTCCTCTTTATGCTACCAAATAATTGGGCGTGCTGTGAAAAATTTATTGTATTTAATTCTTTTTCTTTCAATGTGTGGGTAGCCCCATCTTGGGGCAAACAGTACACAAAAGACAGAGCTTTTTAACCTGAAAACTACAAAGGCTACTGTGTGGATTGTATGGGTTTATCCCCTAAGATGGCGGCCAAGGGACATAACTTTTGAAAAGTGTGGATTGGTCTGTAGGTGGCAGAGGATAGTTCGGATTAAGGACTAGCAACCCAAGCTAATTTTTTGTTTTTGAGTAATGTAATCAAACTTTATGCCATTTAAAAGAGCTCAATAAATGCTGTACAATACTTTTTATATCAGGAAGAAACCTTTAGAAAAAAAAGTTATGGCATTTTGAAGTCATGAAATTTCGGTCGTTTTCTAGAATTTTATATTTAATTTAGATATTCGGTTTCTTTGAGTTATCCTTGATAGGTCAGAGGGGTCATCTTCGCTCCAGTGATGAACGTTGTTCAGAAGATGGACTGGATCATTGATGCATTTATCCAGAAACCCATGCAATTCAGTCATGTGCCTATAAAGGTACAAGTACGGAACTCCTGAGTTGGTTACAAGATTCCAATAAGGACCAGTTACTTCCACATAAAAGAGTCCAAAGCACTGTAAGAGGACAGCAATCATATCACATTTCAAATCTGTAAACCAGCTTTAAGTTTTAAATTGGGCGTTTGGACTGTTTCAAGCACTTTTATGAAATCCTCACGATGCACAAGTCTTTCTGCTGCCGTTTGGAATATTGCATTAAAACGGTTGTCCCTGTAATTTCCAATCAGTGATTTAATGCCATTTTCTGCGCAGTGAGCTTCCCATAGGTCTCGAACACCATGGTGGTCACCAGATGGACCGAACACATCTGAAACTGTCCGCACACCACTCTCTCCACTACTGTTCCTTTCGTGCTCCAATATTTAAATACTGGGAAATTGTCTCTGCCTAAGGGTCCAATCTCAGAAACAAGGTGATTTTCAAACTCCTGGAATTCTTTGCTCGAGTATGAATGAAATCCAAGGAGGACATGGGTCATACAGTAAAAGTTCAGGACCTCTGATTGCTCGTGTTCA